GCTCCGGGACCCGCCGCCCGGGCGCCACTTTCCGAGACGCTGGGCACGGGCGCGGGCTGCAGTCCCCGCGCGCCACCGTCGTTGCCTACTCCGATCGGGCTCGGCCCGGCGCGGTGGGCGGCCAGAGCTATGTGACCTGGGGCCAGCGGGCGCGGCGCGGCGCGGCACGGGCTGCGGCCGGACCGCAGCGATGTGGTTGAAGCCGGAGGAGGTGCTGCTGAAGAACGCCCTGAAGCTCTGGGTGACCCAGAAGAGCAGCTGTTACTTCATCCTGCAGCGGCGCCGCGGGCATGGCGAGGGGGGTGGCCGCCTCACCGGTAAGGGGCGCGCGCCGAGGCGGGGCGGACCGGCGGATTGGGGCCCGGGCTCCCGGGGCCTCTCTACGCGCCGGGGACGGCAGTCCCAGCCTCCGAGGTTGCGTCGCAGGTGGCGATTTCATGGGAAACGCCGGGCGAAAAACGGCTCTTACGCGGGCTTGTTTTCCTTTTTCTTCTAAATTTCCCTCGCAAGCCTTGGTGTAGGTTGTTGCAAAAGGTACTCGCAGGCTCTTGCATTTTCTTGGGTAAGGCAGGTGTCTTTTGGTGCTTGGCCTGATGAGCGCCTCGAGGCCAAACTTAGCTAGGGAATCCAAGGAGAAAAACCAACTTGAGCATGACCCTCAGAACATGGGCCCCTGGGACGCTCTGAGACGCTCTGTAGGAGCGTGGACCACCGTGCAGGTGCCAGGTAATAGCGGGGCGCACCTAGGCTGGCTTTGACTTGGCCATCTGAACTGCCCAGGTTCCTGGTTGTTTCGCGTCTGGGCACATGCGACCATCCAACGGCAGAGAGTAGTTCCGGTGGTTCGGGTGATCCTGAAGCAGTCAGGTAGTGTGGGCAGGGTGGGCCGAGGACTGGCAACGCTGCCGGAAGGGAAACCGAGACACTGAGCATCCCAAAGCTCTTAATCTTAGTGTCAAAATTGAGCAGGCCAGCTATTTTTCCTTTTGCTTTTCCTGAAGAATTATATGAGAAAAAACAACTTTTGCTTGTAAAGTTTATGAAAAACAAAGCTTTATTATTATTATTGTTGAAAGCACTTTGAAAATAAAGCATTTGGAAAATTGAGGCCAGCTTGCATTAGTTGGGACACTTGTTTAAGCAGATCAGTGAAGGAACAATTTGTTGAGTCCTTTGTAGTAGTATTTAGGAAACCTATGTAGAATTTTCAAGGAGCTCTGGTAGCGTAGTGCCTAAGGCACTTGACTGCTAACCAGAAGGCTGGTGGTTCAAACCCACCAGCCACTCCTCAGAAGAAAGATGGGGCAATCTACTTCCACAGTGATACTGCCTCAGAAACCCAAAGGGGGGGTCACTATGAGTAGGGTCCGACTCGACAGCACATAACAACATACAGAATTTTCAGGTTTTGGAATATGAAATTAAAGAGGCCTAGATCATCTTCTTCCTGTTACCCTCCATTCCTTACCTGCTTTATACAGAGAAGAGGACCCAGACTGGATAGATCAAGGGATGGAACTTAGATTCTGGGGCTAGGGAAATTACTCTTGGTATATTTCAGGGCAAGAGAACTGGCAGTTGGGTTAGTTAGAAGTTGTTAGGTGTTGTACAGTCCATTAGCAAACCTGTGCACAAGAGAATTAAACATTGTGGGGTCCTACACCATCTTCACAATCCTTGCCATGCTTGACCCCATTGTTGCAGCCACTGTGTCAGTTTGTTTCACTGAGAGTCTTCCTGTTTTTTACTGGCCCTGTGCTTTATCAAGGAACTCTGGTGGCATAGTGCCTAAGGCATTTGACTGCTAACCAGAAGGCTGGCAGCTCAAACCCACCAGCCACTCCTCGGAAGGAAGGTTGGGCAATCTCCTTCCGTAGTGATACCACCTAAGAAACCCATGGAGTTGGATCTGACTCAGTGGAGTGTGTTTGGTGTTTTGGTTTGGTGCTTTATCAAACCACCTTTTCCAGGGACTGGTCCCGCCAAAGTACAAGAGATGCAGTGTCGCTATCCTTGCTTCTGAGGAGCATTCTGGCTGCTTCTTCCAACACAGATTTATTTGTTCTTCTGGCAGTCCATGGAGTATTTAATATTTTTCACCAACACCGTAATTCAGAGACATAAGTTCTTCTTTGGTCTTCTTAATTCATTGTTCAGCTTTTGTTTGCATGCATATGAGATGATTGAAAATACTGTGGTTATTTAGAAGAGAGTGGGCTTAATTGAGCCTCAAGGAGTTGGTAGGAGTTAGTGAGAATCCTGGGTAGAAGGGGTTATGGGGTAGTTGAGAGACAGTGGTGGTGGCCCCAGCCATCTGGTGGTGGTAGGGGCGGCTTGGGCTCAGAGCACCTTGAGAGTTTCTGTGAGTTGCTGGGGGTCAGGTTCTGTTAGTGTGGGAGTCAGGAGACTATAGGGGCCTTTGACCATCACAATGGCACTTAATACTCAGGCTATCAGGAAATGGAGGCTGGCTTTGAATCACATCAGAAGCAAAGAGTCTGGAGGAGGAAGTTTGTTCCCTTGTTCTTTGATGGCAGTGTCCCTTAATTTATGGTGCATTAAGCATGATATCTTTTGTATAAATGATGTCTTTTGGTAGAGAATGAAGATAGGCTTGAAAATTAAAAATGAGAAATATAAGGAAAGCTTGCTCTGCAAAGGCTTTCTTTCATCCTCTTAGTTTGCTGCACACTGACTGTGTGTAATGCGCTGTAAGGCTGCTTTGGGAAAGATTCCCCATATGGATAAGGCCCAGCCGCCTTTAGGTTAGTCACCATCTAGCAGGGGGGATGAGTCCAGGCAAGGAAGGCAAAGCTGTGGATTCAATGCCTGATAGACGTTCACGGAAGCTTACCTTTGGGAGAGTTTCTGGCTCTGTTGTACACCTTATCTATGTGAACTCAAAATGATGCATTTTCTTCCGATTACGTTCCAAAATCAAACAGGTCTTCTGTTGTCATCCCTATCTGTGGCTTTGGCTTTACTTGGTGTTTACTTTGATTGGGCTTATTCTTAAATGGAATAAGATTAGCCAAAAAAGGAAAAACACACACATACAAACGAGAAGACACTGTGCTTTATTTCAGATTTCCTGTCGACCGAGAAAGGATGATACCTTCACTGAAACCAAACACTTTGCCTTCCGGCAGTTAATTGGGAAGCAAAGCGCATTGCTTTGTGGATTGAGCAGCTTTGAGTCATCACATCTGCTGTCAGGCTAGTTTTAACGGGTGCCACTGTGAATGTTGTAAATTTGAGACCAGTATGACACAGAGGGCAGCTCCATATTGGTAATGGCTGTCAGAAAATACAGAATTCTAATTTAGAAGCTTTTTAGCAATTTATTTTAAGGGTTTAAAACTTGAGTGAATTTATATATAAATACAATAGGGGTCAAAGTGATAGACAAGGGCAGTGGTTGTTCAGTGATAGAATTCTCGCCTTCCACGCAGGAGGCTTGGGTTTGACTCCGGAGTCTGCATGTTGCTATGATGCTAAACAGGTTTCAACGGAGCTTCCAGACTAAGATGGACTAGGAAGAAAGCCCTGACAAACTACTTCTGAAGTTCAGCCAATAAAACCCTGTGGTACATACACACAATGGAATACTATTCAGCCAGTAGGAACAATGAAGTTTTGATACATGCTACAGTATGGATGGAACTGGAGGACATTATGCTGAGCAAAATCCAATCACAAAAGGATAAATACTGTATGACCTCATTTGTATAAAAAGGCAAGAAAAGGCAAATGTATAGAGACCAAACTTTATTAGTAGTCACCAGAGGTAGAAGAGAGGGAGAAAAGAGCGATAACAGTGATGAAAAAATCACTTGATTAAGGGTAGGGTTGGTTACACAGCTGATAATTGTAATTGCTATGTATAAGTTATATACCTGTAAAAAATTGAATTGACAAAATTTATGCCATATATTTGCAAGAACAACAAAAGTGTAGCTGCTGAGGCTGGTTATGTACAGCTAAACACTTCACGGGATTTGGTTCCTTGATTTGGAGGTTTAGGGTCATGCTTCATGGGATGTCCCAGTTAATTGGCCTAATAACTTGTAGTACTTCTGTTTTTCCTCCTAGTTCCTTGCTTATTGTCTTGGGTCTTAAAGTCTCACAAGCAGCCATCCATGGCACAATGTTGTTGTTGTTGTTATGTGCTGTCGAGTTGGACCCGACTAATAGCGACCCCTCCTTGGGTTTCCGAGGCAGTATCACTACGGAAGTAGATTGCCCCATCTTCCTTCCGAGGAATGGCTGGTGGGTTTGAACCGCCAGCCTTCTGGTTAGCAGTGAAGTGCCTTAGGCACTACGCTACCAGAGCTCCCATATATACATATAGAGAAAGAGAAATTTATCTTAGGAAAATGGCTCATATACTTATTGCCATGGCACATAACAACAACAACAACAAAATGGCACAATAGTTGGTCTCTATTCACCTGTAGCAACAGAGGGAGAAGGAAAATCAGCAATAGGAGGAGGGTATGGAATGTGTGGCTAATTGTGTCCATGAACAACTATCTCCTTTGCCATGAGACCAGAAGTACTGGACGGTACCTAGGTATTATTGAACAGTTTGATCAAAGGTTCCATAGAAGAATTCTGATCAAAATGGGGGGGAGGTAAGAATAAATTTTCAAATTTTCCTGGACTCTTAGTTTCTGGAGCCATCAAATGTGCATGAACCCCTGAAACTACTGCCCTGAGATAATCTTTAAACCTTAAACCAAAAATATCCTGAAACCAAACAGTAGTTTAGCTTAACTAGTAAAAAAAAGTTCTGCTTTGAGCATTATGCTCTTTTAAGAACTGTCTGTATGGGATCAAATTGACAGCAGTGACTGGAAAATTAGATAGGAACCTTTGGGGGCAGTGAGTTTTTGTTAACGAGGAAGGAACAATTCAACGAAAGAGGGTGAGAATCCCAGTCCAATACAATGAATAGAAGTGGTGATAGAGGGCATCCTTGTCTGGTTTACTGCTCACAAGGGGAATGCTTTCAGCCTCTCTCTGTTGAGAATAATGTTTGCTGTTGGTTTACATATATACCCTTAATTATGTTGAGGATTTTCCCTTCTGTTCGAATTTTGCTGAGAGTTTTTACCAGGAATGGGTTTTGGTTTATCAAATGCCTTTTCTGCATCAATTGATATGATCATGTGGTTCTTTCCTTTTGTTTTATTTATGCGATGGATTACCTTGATTGTTTTTCAAATGGTGAACAATCCTTACATATCTGGTATGAATCTCACTTGGTCATGGGTGAGATTATTATTTTAAATAACAGTGTAATTTATTATTTTTT